TTTTTCTTCCAACTATTGCATCCGAAGTCAGCAGAAAAATACGAGAACTTAAATATAAATCAGGTGGTTGCGATGGGATACATGCCTGTATGCTAAAAATGGCCTCGCCGTACATATATCACCGGTTCTAGCGTGCATCATAAATGATGCCATGGAACAAGGAACTTGTCCAAAACAGTTCAAAGCTGCGGAGATTTGCCCCGTACATAAGGAGGGCTCCATGAGGGCTGTGAACAATTATCGTCCTATAGCGCTCATTTCCAATGTTTCAAAGGTTTTTGAAAAGATAATTTACGACAGACTGTATTCGTTCGCGATGAAACACAAGCTTATCAGTGCGAATCAATTTGGATTCATGAAAGGAAGAGGTGTAGATGATGCCATCTCCAAGCTGAGTAAATATATATATGAAAAACTGGATGCTAGTGCACCTGTGGCGGTGGCGTTCCTAGACTACTCCAAAGCGTTTGACACAGTTAATCATGAGATACTGGCTAACAAACTATATAACATGGGTGTCAGAGGTGTCAGTCTTAGGCTGCTCAAAAGCTATTTACACAATCGAATGCAGTGTGTCAAGATTAATAATGTAAAGAGCCAACTGGTTGCTACTAACATGGGTGTGCCACAGGGGTCGATATTGGGCCCATTACTCTTTCTGCTGTACGCAAACGATTTGCTAGTGCTAATGCCGGAGCTGATAGCCTATGCGGATGATACTGCTGCAATTGTTGGTGGAGCCACGTGGCGTGAAGTTGAGCAAAGCATGACAACGTTGCTGGAAGTAGTGTATATGTGGACGTATGAAAATCATCTATCTCTCAACATTCAAAAGTCTGTTTACGTAACTTTCGATAACAGCAGTGAATCATTACCAGTGAATATTGAAGTTAAAATAAATAATGTAGCAATGAAGCAAGTTGATAGTGCAAAGTATCTTGGTGTTCTTTTTGACTCCTGCATGAAATGGACTGGACATGTTGAGCGAATTGTTGGTAAAACAAGGTATCTTCTCTACGTTTTTTACAGACTTCGGCATGTACTTGCGCGAAGTCAACTGCTGCAAATATATTACGGGCTGTTTCATAGTGTGGCGACCTATGGCATCATTGGATGGGGCGGTGTCGATAATACAGCGCTGACAAAGTTGCAGAGACTTCAGCACAGAATTTTAAAAATAATCCGAGTAAACGATTCGGACCCCAGAAAGCCACCTAATCTGAGGCAGGCCTTCGTTATAAAAGCAATTATAAAACAGTATCAAGAGCTCAGCTATGATTACACAAATAAGGAGGTTTTCACTCGATATAAGAACCTGACTCTCTTAAAACTGAAGCTGTCAATTGGACAGAGAAGCTTCGTGTACCAAGCGGCAAAACATTTCAATCAGCTCCCCAATGAGCTTAAAAAACTTACTAGTTATAGTGCAGTGAAAGTGATGGTGAAAAAATTTATTAAATCTTGTAATATAACTCTGTGACTGTGTGATAAGTGTTAACAATTTCTCCCGAATTTTTCTATTATATAATTGTTATACATGCTACTATGCGTTACTTTCCTATTTATAAGTTTATAAGTCCTGTTGTGCCTTATAGTGATCTATGAATGATCTCCGGACTATCTTTTCTATTTGCTATTTTTATTATTATTTAATTATTATTTTTTTTCTAACTTTTTTGGACCAACCTATGTACGGGCGATCCCGCCTTCTATAGGTCCTTTTGTAATTTTGTATTAGAAGAGGAATATTGGTCAAATATAATATAATATAAATATAAATATTTATTTTCGGTGAAATGGGTCGATATACCAGACCGTAGTATTTTTTTTCTCAATTCTGACCCCAAAAAACGATTCCTTGAATTTCTCAGAATTAATCAAAGAACTCATTCATCAGTAACATTTTTTCCTCAAATCCATCGTTTTTGAGTTAAAAATTTCAAAAATCTCCTCATATATCTTCGTTTTCCAGTCGCCGTTTTTTGTACTTAAAATCATATTTCACTAATCGTAACCATCGTGACTTTAAGAGAAAGACCCATGGACGCTTTATTTGTACCGAAGACCCCAGGATTTGAACGATTTCCATGTGAAAATTCGAAAAGAAGAAAAATTTTTTTTCTCGAAATCACGTTTTTTTGCATGAACCATCCATAATTTTTAACCTGTTTGTTATATCGAAAATTTAACACCGGATTCGGAAAGTTCATTAAATTTTGTATCGAATATGGTTACTCGCAAGTTCTCCAGATCCCATTTTCAGCAAAAGTACAACAACAAAAAAGTATCAAAAATCTGTCCGTCCCGGACTTAATGGGTTAAAAAAAAATACCTCTCTACGACTTTTTGCGCTGTGTAGGCCGTTTTGAAGGTACCATTTGTTTACGCAAAATGCCCAAAAATTAAGTCGATTTCAGCGAAACGGCTATGCCTCAGGCATACTACGCGCAGCTAGCAATAGCTGCTCTCTTGCCTAGTAACATCATATACTATTAAGGGCTAACAGGGGGCTTAATTATTTTTCATTTTTCAATTACAGTACTAGGCTGTAAAAATGAAAAAAAAATTGTAAATATTCTATTAAATTGTTTGTGGAAGTAATCAAAGTTGATTTTATGCTTAGCTTGAGGTTGTTGCGTTGATGGCCAATGATCCATCAAACAAAATGAAACTACATACAACTCAATTGTGTCATGCAAACACTTGAAAACCTACGGCAGGCAGCTTAGAGATGACAAATACTTATCGCTGAAGGTTTATAGACTTATACCAGTTAATTTAAGTTTTTCTAAGTATCTAACTGGACAAAGTACTTTCACATAAGGTATTGAAAAAGGCTCTTATGCCTGTTTTCTGAAAAAATTTTTTTTTTCACTTTTCAGCTTAATACAATAAATAGAAATATATAATTATTTAAGCCCCCTTTGAGCCCTTAAGGTTAAATAAAAGTAATTGAAATCGATATCGATTTTTCGATTACTACAAGTGCGAGTGCGACGGACAAGCTCCCACTATCACTATAACTTGACACCCCTTTGTTTTCGAACTGAGCCTCTTGTTTGTCATTCTTTATTCAATAATTTTCATATATGATTTTAACAATATTAACCCGTTGTTATTAATATTACTTTATAATTGTAACAGTTAACAATATTCCCGTAATAACTTTAATTAATATTATTACAAATAATCATAAATACTTCGTAAATATTCTAATACTTAATAAATATAAAACAAAATATCATTTATATGTTTACATAATATAATGAATATCCCTTAAGAAATTATAGAAAATTAAATAATAATTTGTTCATAAAACTATCTTCTCCCGATATAATATCAAACATCAATATATAGATTACCATCATCAATTGTCAATCAATATGAAATATTTATTATCGATGCGATGTCATTGGACGTCACACGATGATACCCCAATTGATTTCATTTTGTTCGATAGGCAATTGGCCATGGTCGCAACCAAAAACTAGCCATAAGATGAACTGTAGCTACTTGTGTGTACAAATTTCTAGAATTTAGTATTCATTTTTTATCATTTTCCATAAATTAATTTCACTTTGCTATATGTTCAAGTAGCTACAGTTCATCTTATGGCTAGCTTTTGGTTGCGACCATGGCCAATTGGCTATCGAACAAAATGAAACCAATTGGGGTACCATCGATTAATGCTTGCTCTTGGATTTCTACGACAGGTAGCTTAGATATGCGTATAGCTTGCGTTAATAATTGAGCGAAGCTCATTACCTCGTCGCGCATGGCATAAAGCACCATACCGGCGCGTCACTGGTGCCCTCGCGACAATACTCAAAAAAGGTATCTTTGTATACCGTATGAAAATATATCTTTGAATGACATCTATTAGAAGTATCCTTGAATACTCAATTTTTCTGAACTACATCTCAACATTTTTAATCGGTCAGGGTCCCGAGTTATTAAAGGGAAACTCTAGGCTGAAAATAATTAATATCATGAGGATGTAAGACGGGTTTTCCAATGTGTTCTAGTGACGAAATGCAGTATGGGTAAATAATAGTGAACTTGCTGTGCGAGTGGACGGTGTGTGTTAAAGTAATAATAAAGAGTAATAATTAATATAGAGTAATAATTCTTTGTAAAGGGTAAATCTACACGCATGTTTACAGTAGCCGACGTAAGGTTACGTTTAAGGCCAATATGTTGAGTACCATCTAAACAAGTGTTGTGCTATATTGATTAACGATATCAAATTATTCAACTGTGGTTGTTAAGGTTTAAGGGCTTATATACACCATAAATTCAAAATTTTTTTTATTCAATTTTTGAATAGGATTTTTTCTTCCCTTTCCATTGCATTTTTCGAAATTCCAAAATTTTGATTTTGCACTGAGATACAGCTATTTCCGTGAGCCTTTTTCCTATACCTACAGGGTCCTTTCGGCAAAAACGAAAAATGAAATAAAATGTGTGTTTAACTGTTCATGCATAGTAATCTGAGAGTTCGGTCGTCTCACCCGTGGTAGTGGCAGTAATCATTCATGTTCTCAAGGAGAGCACGCGATCCTGGTGTAGAAAGCTCAATCGGTACCCTCTGAATATTACGACAGGTGACCAAAAACGCTACTCACCAGAAAACGCAAAAGAAGAAAAAACTTAACACGTAAAGTATAGGAAAAAGGCTCACGGAAACTGCTGTACTCAGTGCACAATCAACATTTTTGAATTACGAAAAATGCAATGGAAAGGGGAGAAAAAATCCTATTCAAAAATTGAATAAAAAAAATTTTGAATTTAAGGTGTATATATAAGCCCTTAATGCACAGATAGTTATTGAGTTAACCAAGACATGACATCATATCAGTTAGAAAAAAAAAGGACGTAAATATTTTGAGATCCTCTCAATCACATTAGGAGTTGATATTATGATAGCTATTTTAATACTGCATCCTATAATTTTAATAAAATAGAACAAATACGAGTAAAAAAAATGAAAGACTACGTGATTGTAGTTATTATACTTCATTTATTTATACTCGAAAAAAAATATTGTAATAAAAGAAAATTTTTAATTTATTTGTAAGAGATCCTCAACAATCTGACCTATGGAAGATCTATAACAACAATTCTCTGACTTGAAGAAATAAAAAAAATAAAAAAATTGAATTGTTACTGATCAATTTGATAATCTTGATAATGCCTTTTATTAATCTGAAAACAAAATATAATACATATGATTAAAAATTTTAAGAAGTATAACAATGTAACATAAATTATCATATGATACAACATATAAATTCTCGTTTTATGAAAAAAAGATCACTATTGTAAAATATTTGAATAACTTTAAGTTAGCACTACTTTTTTTTAGCAATTTCCGCTGTGCTTTAAATCGGCACGCTTTGTATGCCAACTATAATACTGACTCAGGTTCGCAAATACGTGTTCGAATTGGTCAAAAACTCAAACGACAACAAGCATAACTTCGTGAAACATGGGTATGTGTCGCGAGGGTCTGCTACGCAACAATCGATGTTATGAACAATTAGCAGTGCGCGGACAGTTGTTCATGATCAGAAAAGATCTAGGACACACAGCAATTTTCAGCAGCATATCACTATTTATCCACTGCCAATTTTCTTTGTTAAGCAGCAGATATCGAAAAATAATAAGGAAATCTACAACGGTTCACGCCTGCTAAATATGGTCGTCGTTTTCAAGCCACGGAGAAAGCACTACCTCATTACATGAAGTGACAATAGCACGGACCCACAAAAAATTACTAATTTCGTACTGATGCAAATGTAAATACTGCGACGGAAATGACCTGACCAGCTGCAAGAATTTTTCCGAGAGAAAGAAACTGATGAAGAAGTTTTACCTAGCTTAACAGAAAAGCGACGGGAAACTGTCACCGGGCCATCTTGTGAGTGTGGTTCTCGCTTCTGACTTCATCAGAGGAGTGTTGTGCTCCTCGTCTATTGACAGCCTTGTGAGTCCTCGTCTCGGGCTTCTACTTATGGTTATACTCTTCGCTTCCGGCTCGCCCAATGATCAGGGGTTTTTACCGGCTCCGAAGGCTGATGACTTAGCCCGCGTCTTCTTTTTGAGTGGTTCCCACTCCCCTTCGAACCCGGGCTCGACCACACTAGGCGAAAAAACACCCTCAAATATTTGTCCAGTGGAAATCGAACCCACGCCCTACGGCACATTACATCCTTTTATCAGCAGGCAAGAACTATACCCACTGAGCCAAGGAGGACGGTTGGTGGTATTTTTTTGTTTTGTTGGACGTGGACAGAGTAAACTCTGCTCCTGCGAAATCAGGCATCCCACCGGAACCTTCGTTGGACATTACTTCGGTAGGCACTCCTATAACAGCATTACGTTTGCGCCTTCATCTGCCTAGTCGATACATCCCCCATCCACCAAGCGGTGATAAGGGGTTCAGGGGCAGTTTTCATCCTTTGATTTTCATTGTTCCATAATTGTCACCCGCCACCTGAGTACCCAGTCCCATGTTCCCCCGGGAACCGCGGTAAGGGCAGGAGTCAACCTCAGGGCCTACGTTCCTCAGCATCAGCCCAAGCTCAATAATCTTTCAGCGCTACATCATCTCGGTGTCAGCGCTGAGAGACATATACATTTTTGCACATACCATGTGTTCGTTAATCTTCCTTGGGTCCAGAGTATCCTTCTAACCATTCATTACACACATTATTGTGTCAGAAAACAGCAATAATCTCCCCTCTCTACCTTAGCCGGTGTCCGAGAAAGAACTGGAAGACATAACTTTCTTTTAGCTTCATGTAATACTCTTCGCTCTTCTTCGGTTTCAGGGAGCCTCCTAAAGCAATACACTAAGCACATCAAGTGTCATACACTTTTACCAGCAAACCTGGCTCTTTCTTCAAGCCTCAGTTTCTTCATTACTGTAGAAGCAAATGAACTTACCGCTGCCCAGCATACGTGCGAGCTGAGCATGTACGCTACAACCGTTTCAGAGGTTAACGGCCGCCCAGCTGCATTCTATAAAGATTCACGCTCACGCGCAAACCTCGGGCAGCAGAATAGTACATAGTCTGCATCTTCGTCTTCTTTTGGACAGGTATGGCAAGTCGCCAGGTCGTCATGCCCAAAACGGCACAAGTACGCCCTGAAGCATCCGTGCCTCGACAGCAGCTGAGTGAGATAGTAGCTCATATCCCCATGCTCCCGCTGAACCCATGGTCTTAGGTCCAGGATTAGCTTTGCTATCCATCTTCCTTTGCTTGACGCGGCCCATCGTCTCTGCCAATCATCCAAAGAGCGCGTTCGATCCAGTATTCTATCTCTATCTAAGAGAACGCCTTCTCTCTTTCCCATTTCATAAAGCCTTGCTCGTTCGTCCGCTTCAAGGTCCAAGGGTAGCACACCCGCGAGGACGCATGTTGCATCATTCGAAATCGTGCGAAAGGCAGCAATAACTTGTAAGGAAATTCGCTGCGTTACCGAGCTGATATGTCTAGAAAAGGCCTTGACGTTCAGCGCCCCACGCCAGATGGGAGCCGCGTATAAAATTACAGATCCAATAACTGCAGCCAAGAGCCTTTTTTGGGACTGCCTAGGTCCTCCAACGTTTGGCATGATGCGCGAGAGCGCTGCGGCTACTCGTGACGTTTTCTCGCCTACTTTTGCCAGGTGCTCCTTGAATCTTAAGCGAAAATCTATTTGTACGCCCAAATATCTCAGGGAAGGAGCTGACAGTATCGTGCAGTCCCCCGAGTTCAGTTCAATGCACTCTGTTTGCTTCCAACTTGTGACAAGCACTGCCTCTTTCTTGTGGTCGGCTAACTGTAGGCCATTTGTTTTTAGCCAGTCTCGAACAATTCTAATGCTCTGCTCTGTTCGCTTTCAGCGTGACATCTTCCAAGTGCTTCGCCGTTACCACGATTGCTATATGGTCAGCATAACCGACAATTTTAACAACTTGGGGAAACTGAACTCTCAATATACCATCGTACATGATATTCCAAAGAGTTGGTCCCAATACGGATCCTTGAGGGACACCTGAAATCACTTTGTACCTTCTCGTGCCTTCATCTGTATGATACAATAGTATTCTTCCACTGATAAGCTTCAACACATAGTCTCGGACACCCAGGTTCATCAACGCTTGCAGCATTTTCGACCATCTAGCCGAGTTGAAAGCATTCTTCACATCCAGCGTTATTATCACACAATAGTTCTTAGTGCCGTGTCTCCAACGTTTGCCGGCAATTGCACTTCTCGCTGTAGGCCGGTTGTTGGTATGTGTGTTTGTGTATGTGTGTGTGTGTGTGTGTGTTTTTTGTTTTTTTTTTTTTCTACTCCACCCCATTCGGACACTCACCGGTGTCCGCCGTTAGGCATTGCTTCGGTGAGGCCGGGGTTGGTTGAGCATTTCTGCTACTCCTGTTAGTCGTTGTTTTCCATACATCCCCCATCCGTCGCATAGTGATATGCGACGATTAGGGGTTCAGGGACTCATCTTTATCTTCTTGGTGAACCCCCGATCCTGCACGCTGCCATCGTCGATTGTCGTATCCCCTTTTTCAGAGCCGTCTGCGTGGTCACACATTGCTGGCATCTCCTCCTGAGTTGGGCCTCTCTTCTTAGGACTCGCTGTCAAGTGCCATCTTGTGAGTGTGGTTCTCGCTTCTGCAGCCAAAGGCAAGTCCGCCGCTTTGCTCTGTCGGCTACATCTTGTGAGTGTGGTTCTCGCTTTCCGGCGCTACCCTGTGAGTGCTCCTCCTTTTTCTGTTGTCGTCTTGTGAGTGTGGTTCTCGCTTCAGGCGCCGTCATGCGCTCCACCAGAGCCTTGGCTCTCGCATCCGGCGCCCTCTTGTGAGTGTAGTTCTCGCTTCCAACTTCATCATGGGAGTGGTGTGCTCCATCTATTGCCAGCATTGTGAGTCCTCGCCTCGGGCTCCTACTTGTGGTTGTCCTATCGCTTCCAGCTTGCACAGTGATCGGGGTTTTTTACCGCTTCGGAGGCTGATGACATAGCCCGGGTCTTCTTTTTGAGTGGTACCCGCTCCACCTCAGGCACAGGCTCGACCACACCAGGCGAAAAAACGAACCTCGAAAATTCGTCCGGTGGGGATCGAACCCACGCCCTAAGGCGTACCTTGTATCAGCAGGCAAGAACTATACCCACTGAGCCAAGGAGGCCGATCGTGTGTGTGTGTGTGTGTGTGTTTGTGTGTGTGTGTGTGTGTGTAAGTCGAACGTGTCACGTAGTATCGCTTCACTCTTGTAAGCCATGCCACGGTCGCCATTGTGTGTCTCGGTCATGTGTGTCTACTGACGTGCATTGTTGTGCATAATCGCGCGTCGAGCTGTAGGGAAGAACCGCCTATTATGGCGCGCCTAACGAATTTTAATTAATAACAAAAAATGTGCTCGATAACATGAAATTTGATGTTTAACATTTTATTCTTTATTCCTTAATCTTAGAAAATGTACCCTATTTTCTATAAGAAATTTTTTTATTTTTTCATAAACAAGCATTATAAAAAAGTTGTAACTGCGCCGCAATCGGCACGCTTTTTGCCAATTATGGCGCATAGGCAGCATAGGCTTTAACCTCCAAGAGTGATGTCGTCCGTTTTCGTGGCGCACATGAAATTAAGACGTTAAATCGTGCGCCATAATTGGCCACGAGGGTGCGCCGCTTTAGGATAAAAACAATGCTCTCTCATATTGCAAATTACTCAATTACCAATTGATGAATAATCGAAAATAAAGCATCATGTTAAAGTAGAGCACCACTACTTCATCTCTATATATACTATAAATCGCGTTTGAGCTGTAAATTCTCTATATGCTCAAGTTTCAAACTTGTAATTATTAGAAGAAATCAGCTGCATTTTATGTATTGCTTGTCATTTATTGTTAATGATGTTTTTCAATAATTTTTTTGCAAAAATTAAATGATTGTTATGTATAGAATATTACTACAGTGGAGGCCGGTTATAACGAGATTCACGGGACCATCGAAAAGTTCTCGTTATATCCGGTCCTCGTTATAACCGACATGAGCAGTAATTACAATATTTTTTTTGGTATTTACCAGTTTCATTTATTCATCGAATAAGATGAGATTATTATATACATTGATTATTTTTTTACATTGTTACAAATAATAATAATATAATAATCAGGTTACAAATAATAATTATAATATAGGG